AGCCTTGCTGCCTTGCCGCACCCCCCGCTGTGCATTTGGTGCTGAGGAGCTGAGTAATCTTCTGAGACGAGTGAGTGGGGAAGGGAAGAGGTCTGGTTGACTCCCCTGCCGTGAAGGGATTCCCCGTCACTGGAAAGGAGAGGGCTCCACCAGGGAAACATACTGAGAGCCAGCGCTCGCTGATGAGCTAAGCAGGAGAAAGCTGCAGATTCATCCCTACTCATCCATTGGCCCTGCTAATTAGGCAGAAACACTGGGGGACAACTGGTTTTCTAATAGGAAGACAACTATCCAACATGGTCCTCACTAGAAAGTTGTGTAAGGAGTTGGGTATCTTGCCAGATACGCCACTTAGCCCCCCGGGACCTGGAAAGAGACAAAGTAAAATTATAAATTACTTCCCCAAGAGGGAGGAATGCATGAGTGAACAAATTGAACCAATTATTGACGAAGTCACTCCTCTCCCCTTACTTACCTTGACCGGTCACATTACTTCAAAGAGCTTCAACACAACTCTGGAAACACAAATTCCCCAAGAAGCCTGGCGCAAGAGCTAGTTCTAGCTGAGAAACCTGTGGAAAATATTTCTGTCACCTATAACCAGCGGCCCCTGGCAGAATTAACAACATGCCACCAAGACCAGGCGCCCACTTCCAAATATACTCAAACTGAACTGAGTGATGGCCATCTTCAGGCCCATTTCCAAGATATAAATATAGACCTTTCCAACATAAAAATTACTTGACAATAACAAATGGGTTATTGCTGACCCTTGTGGAAAATTTTATTCCCCAACCAAAAGAGACAACAGCAACCGATGCACCCCAAGTGCATAAACCAGATGAACTTGTGCATAACCCAGATGAACTAGTGAAGATGAGACAAGCAGTAACAACCAAGAAATTGCAAAAAAATAGATCAAAAGTCCGGGAAAAGAAAACTAAGAACATTAAAACAACAAGGAAAATAAAGATAAGCCGACATAAACAATGGCAGAAATTATTTAATCTACTCCCATTGGACTCAAATAAATCTGCTGCACGAGATAAAAAGAGAATGGCAGGAAGGGGAAAAGAAGCCATCGCCAAAGCTAATGGCTAAGGTGGCATCTCTGAACCAGAATTCAGAACTAAGTGGGAGGACGGAAGCAACGTCCCAGAGTTCTGGTAACAGTTCACTCAGCGAACCAGAGTCTGGGGGAGAAGTGGTCCCTAACAATGAAGGCAGCAAACCGCTTAGCAAATCGGGAAATGGGGACGATGCAATGCCCAATCGCGATGACAACACTATACAAGATGGGCAAACCCTTATTCAGGCAAGATGTTGGAACCTGATTTTAAATCCCTCAATATTAGTATTTACAAACTTCCCAAAATCAAAGGCCTTCCTTACAGGGAAAGAACGAAGAATGAGCTCCTTGAACGTTCTGAATGATATATTGCCAGGAGCAGTAAAGCCATATGACATTATTTCTGTAGATTATTTGCATCATGATGGTTGTTCAATGAGAGCAATGATCACATTTAGAGACCAGAACCTGGCCAAGTTTATCTACAGATCAAGATATATATTCTTAAAGGCCCAGATAAAAATTCTCAGATTTTTTGAAAACAAGGCACCACCGAATTCCCTTCTGGAAGCCAAGCACGCAAACCCTAGTAAGGAGAAACAACCTCCCAAAACTCGGCCTGGTCTCCAGAAACGAGAGCTTCAAAAATTAAAAAGGAAAGATGCCCACCTGCAAGACCTGCAACTTCAAGAGAATGAAGATGAGGATCTTTTTTCCGCGGAAGAAAATACCTTAATTAGGCAATTTCGCTATTTTCCATCTCCAATACAAGCTGAAATATTAGAAAGATTGGATATGCTAAGAATTAAGCTGGCTGGGAGAGATACAAACAAGGAAATCAATATGGACGCCCTTATAAAGGACCAGACTTCCTATAATTTGAACCCTACACAAGAACCAAACCCAGCGGCCTGTCGGCCATGTTACCTTCAGACAATGGCTGAGATTAATTTACTCCCAATTAAGGAAGCCCAGCACACTGAAGAGAACACTACACCACCTCCAATAAAGAGAACCATCCCGAAGGTGAATTCACCAGGCTCTTGGGACAAGCTGAGGTATTTAGATGAGGCGGAATTAGGCCACAATCAGGTTCCGGAAAAACACCTACGGAAAGAGATAACACACTTCAAAGGCCCGGTGACCACTAATGTCAGTATTCAACAGTTAACAGCCGAAACTATAGAACATTTGGCTAGTTTGCCATGTATGGAGAGCAATGGGCCGGCTCATAAAAAGTAATCCCTAAAAGCACCTTGGGAAATAATTGACAAAGATTAGACCAGAGACAAACACCAGCCGGCTCCCTATCTCCGCGGAAATCCGATATCATTAGATACGAACAGACTCAACCCTCACTCACAAATCAAGCAAAAGCAGTTGTTTCCTTGAAAGACGCACCCAACCTACCCCAAAGCCTTAAAATTGTCTCCTGGAATGTTAACGGCTGGGCGACAAAGCAAATGGATCCTGAAGCAATGAATTTCATCTCTTCTTTCGACATTGTATGCCTCCAAGAGACCTGGTCCCAACAAAGTATTGTTCTCCCAAATTATTGCTCCTTTAGCTCCTGTGCTCAGTAAACTAACCAACAGGGGTCGCCCCCAAGTTGGCCTCGCCTGTCTTATTTCAACCAGCTTACCCCTCACTATTTGCGAGGAAATTAAATCTTCCCCTT